CTTCCCTTTCCTTTCTTGATCGTGTTCAGCGAAAGGCCATCCGGCTAATCGATTATCCTTCTCTAACATCCAGTCTACAGTCGCTAGCCCATCGTCGGGCAGTTGCTTCATTGTCCGTGTTCTGCCGCTACTACTTTGTTCTTTGTTCTTGGGAACTTGCCTCGGCAATCCCTCTTCCCGCAACTTTTACCGGCCATCCCGTACACAGGCATCTAGTCATCCTTATCAGGTTTCTGTTCCCAGATGTCGTACCTTTCTACTCCAATCTTCTTTTCTTCCCCGAACTGCCAAATTGTGGAACACCCTCCCCCTTGTTATTTTCCCGCCAACTTACAATCTCTTTAAATGCGAAATCAATAAACTGGATCTTACGTGAATGTTCCCCTACTCTCCCCTCTACAGTATGCTATTTGTCCATGGGGATTTCCCCATTTACTATAATTCACCTTGTGTAATGAAAAAGTAAAAAATAAAAAACGGAGCTCAAAATAGCCTCTGTTTAAAGACAGCCGACCTTCGCAGCATTCATATCGCATGTGCAATAGCTGAGTGTATATTTGACGGTGCCTGGGCTGCAATCGTTGGGTGACTATGCCAAAACAATAAGCAGATTGTGTTCCTCGAGGAGAAGACTGATAAGTCTTTGCAAAACTCTACTATGAAGAAATATCAAAGACTCAAAGGAATTTTAGCCGGTCGAGGCCAACACGGTGAAACGGAAGAAAGAGAACGCAAGGCGATTTGGGCAGTACTCCGTAAAAGACTGCGTCGGTTCTTCAACCGACAGTTTCACAACGGGAGTTTCCTTCTCTTGCCTCTTGCTTTTCTCCAAGTTTCCTGGTAGATCCATTCAAGCTGGACGTGATTATCAAATCACGGACCAGAAGCACCTTCATCCTACGCTAGGGTGACTAGCAGCAGGACAGGTTTAGTTTCCAATCCGTTCTGTGTAATTAAGGACTATCAGGACACGGTTGCATAACCATACTTAGCAGAACCATCAAAGTTAAGATATGCAGTAGCAAATTAGCCCCTCGATCACGTAGAATTATTACAAGAGCTAGGCCACCGTTATGGTTTTCGTTCTAACAAGAGGACCTTCTCCACCGGGCACAATCAAGTATACCGTCGACATTTAACATGTACTGCCATTACTTGGCGATAGTGATCTTCCAGAGAATGTTTCTGCATTAGAAACAGCAACGTGGACAAATCCAGGATTAAGTTTTGCTTTAACTTTTATCGTGATTTTAATGAGCTCGAAAAGACCGCACCGACACCATTCCCCACGGTGAGCACTGCATCGCACGCTTGTTTTGAACTGATCAGGTCTACTTTCAGATTTCCACTGCCGTTGCTAAAATACCACCCTAAGCTAGACAAACTCACTTCCAACATTTCGGAAGTTTCAGAATATATAATTTCTGTAATCCCAATTCTTGGTTCTGTTTCCTACCGGGACGGATATCCAGAAAGAACGTCAGCAAACATTAGTGACAGGTTATGCCGGACGTCAGCAACCGCCTAGTCGCTAAAAGACTGCATCGCATCGGATCAGCACGATTACGATCTATTCCGACTCAACGGTCAACAAAAACTAAAAATCAAGTTTGTCGCCTTTAGTACATATATATATATATATATCATAAATTTCGGCATCCTTCTTTTTTTCTTACATTCGCTATTGCTGCGCGTCCTAACCGACATCAAATCCGGATATTGGCCGCTCTGGAGTTTTACCAGAACTTGATTAGTTCACATAATTTTATGGTAAGCAACGCCATCGACGCACCCATCCGCAATACGACCAATTTTAATGAGGATGAAAGCCAACCATACGTGGTTACGGTGATAATGAAGTTAGCGGTATAAATTCAGACTGTTCTATTTGGAGTATCACATTCGATTTATACAGGCAGCAGATACTGTTTACGATCTTATGTGTGAAGATTGTTCCAACTCTTCACAGGGAAAATGTCCCTTGTGTTATAGGAATACGTGACAGTGTGCTAACAAAGTTTACCAAACAGTTGTTTCATCTTTCGCGTACTGGTTGTGTCCCGAAAGTTCGTGGTTCGGACCTCAGCAGCACATACTACTGACTAGTCCCAATAGGGCCAAAAAGCTGTCCAGTGTTCCTCGACAGTCCTCACAAAAGTTACCCGCCAAATTAAATTTGCGACATGAACATTATTATCACCAAAATCATTGATAAAATTGAAATATTCAATATTTACATAAGTCCTATTATCCATATGTTCACCCCTAAATCACTAAGTCGATCTTCACTAGGCTAATCGAAATCAAAACGAGGCAGATCATCCGGTGATGGACAGATTATTGGACGGAAACTTACCAGTCGGCCACATGGATGAGCGGGAAATGGAACGACGGCCAGTTCATGTGACAACTGAGGATTGACCTGAAATGAGATGTAGTTGGAATTACAATTATGCAGATATAGGCATATATATACACAATGAATCAGCGAATCGCTTGAGAACATTAACTGGCGGTGTTCGATAGGGCAAAAGTGTAACCAACAATGTCAATCGAACCAAATAAAAAGGTGGGCAGGTATTGATCGACCGGAAAAATGAAAACGGTCAAGACGCACTGCGAGGCGTGAACAATAAAAAAAAACCATCACATAAGTTCAACAAAAAGAAATTGAAGTGCCGGATGCATTAAGAAATCATTTGCAGGAAACAGCTCTCCATAGCTCATTGTTCGCCGTTACTTTGAATACAAACGTAAAACGTTGTTATCGTTCGCTTCACAGCCAAGGTGATCTGTAGTCTATGTAAAGTGATAGGAGGAATTCTTTCATGAACTACTCTCTGTGATTTGTAAATGAAGCTGCTGTAGTAAAATTTCTATTTGGAGTCAAAGGTTGAGAATTATTTTGCCGTGGAATTTTTCATTTTTTTTCATTTTACTTCCTTTTATTGAATATACAAAGATACAATTTTCAGGAAGGGGGGAAGCGGCCAATCAGAGGGCTGCATACAATACACAAATGGGGAAAGTCAGGCGGTGGTGGTGGGATTCGAACACTCGTCCTCCGGGGTGATAATTGGTGACGTTACCACCGGGCCACCACCGCCCAGTGTGCGTACCTGATGAGCGACAAGAATCGTCAGAGCAGTTCTATCTTCCAGGGAAATTTTATTCTTTTGTTCAATCAAACTGTTATTTGCATCAAATGTGTCATATCACGTGTCCAAACTGTTGCATTTTTCGTTGTATGCAATCCCTGTCAAATATATACACATCCCAAATATATAATTCACTTTCAACAAAAAATCCAGAGGGTACAGAAGAAGAGAAAAACCAAAACATTCCTAGCTCGACAATCAGTTGATTGGGTCCGGGATAAAATTAAAATGGACATTCCACGGACCGCAGCAAGTTCGGTCGATTTAGTCCGTGGGTGTGCGTGATTTTCCATTACCCGTGTACCAATTGTACATTTGGTATTTTGCTTTCGGGAACAAAACTTCGGACACTCGCGACAAATATCCATAGAATCAAACAAGCTTAAATGAGGAAGATTTTGGCCCCGATCACTGGTACCGCTTCTTGGTATCGATCCGAGTCAATCACGAAAGGAAACCAAGAACTGAATGGCAAAACATATTCCAGGCCTCCTCGAATTTCACACTGTTTTGTTTATTTAGCTTGGACCCAGTTAAGTTGTGTTCATATATGATCCAACCACAAATTATTGGAGATATCGAAGTTCACATGGGTGGAGGGCCGAATCGCAAAATAACATTGGCACTGAAAACCAAACAGTAGTATGGTTCATGCTCTTTTATATGAGTCAATTTTCCTTCACATAATTTGTTTTCGCCAGTGTTTTAGTTTCCCTTGCCCTGATCGATTTTTCTAACATTTATTATGCGCACAATAAGGCACTATCAGTTTTCGCCCACATTCCATCTGGCGCCGTCACTCTATACTTGTTCTTCGGGTAGGTGAAATTTTTATCTCCACATAGAGTGACACTGGTAGAACTATTTGAGTTGATTTGTTTGATTTTAAGCATTTCAACACACATCATGAGATTTGTTGATAGAATAACTCGTGATTAATAGCGTTACCTGTTTGCCAAAATTATGATAGCTGTGTCCAATCCGCTAAAGCGTCCCATTTTTCAACTCCCCTCTGTACTTACACTACATGCAAACACAGTGTCATGAGATACCACTAACATTAGTGAGTAGTTTGTGCGCACAAACAAGCGGGTGTTGAATTCCCACAGCATCTGTGAGTGAATAAAAGGATTTACTATCGCAACTGCAAAACACAAAAGCAGTGTCTCATTACGGAAATACTAACCAAATGTCTTAGTTGTCTCCATTCGATGCTGTTCCCTGAATACATAACTCTCCTCAACCGGTACTAGATATACGGAATGAAATAAATAGTACCATTCTGTTCCTTACTCGATTCATAATTCCTTGTTAACATCTTTCACCTACTTTCAGTAAAGATTCTTGCAATGTCACATATACTTGTGTCTTTTTTCCTAATTTTTTATCGATGCACATTTATCCATTGGGCATAGTTGTACACCACCGAGAAGTCACCCATATGGGTGCGCAAAACTCCCCTTTGACTTCAATTTACCACCGGTGACTTTGCAGAACCATCGTGCCGCGTAAAGAATGTCGTACCGAAATTTTATGTACACATACATACATACACACACACACAAACAGAGACGTATTATCCCACTCTATCTTTCCTGAATTCAAGATGATGCTAATCTTATCTAATGAACTGCCGGTTAGAACTGCCCGTTTTTTGTTGATTACACTTTGTGACTTATCGATCAATCGTCTGAGGCACACGACGGTTCCGG